CTTTATTTCATATTAGATTTAATTTAGAATTTGTCATCTCTTGCTTTAATAACCTTCTAGACGCTTTCTTGGAACTACATGTTAATTACTACACCTCACACACACTTCGTATAGAGAGATTGTATCAACATTAGCTTTTTGCAGTGAGAATGTACTGTCCTCATATGACCAGACCTGACACTAGACCAAAGTCTGCTTGTCACTTCAGCTAAAGGAAGATATGCTGTGAGGTGTGGATAGCGAACTACAAAAAATATAACCTATTTACATCAAAGCTAGCTAACTACAATTTAAAAAAAAAAATTATTTATCAACAAAGTTTAAAAAAAAAAAATTACAAAATTGCAAACTAGACCTTAATTCTGCAGATTCAGTGCTATTCAAGAAATATCCTGTCCACCTGGAATATGAAGAAGGAACAGAAACCCGTCAAGAACCATTAATAGGTTTACTCTTCTTAACTCTAAATTTCTAGCCCCTACCATGTTTGTACTCTGAAACAAATCACCTTGCTAAGACTTGAAAATGCATCTCTGTTTATGTGTGAATTATGAGTATTTAAGTGCAAATCTATATAAACCATTAAACAGTGTAGATTCTGGTCTACTTAGGGTGCACGGACCCTGATTTCGCCCATAGCAAGCAGCAGTACAGAAAAATCAAAATTTCCAGCACAAACATTTAGATTCGAAGATCCTTAAATAAAGGATCTGTAGATTTAAAGGTTTATGCTGGACATTTCAGTGTGTGTGTGTGTGTGTGTGTGTGTATGTATATGTGTATGTGTATGTATATATATATATATATGTGTATGTATATATATGTGTATGTATATATATGTGTATGTATATATATGTGTATGTATATATATATGTGTATGTATATATATGTGTATGTATATATATGTGTATGTGTATATGTATATATGTATATATGTGTATATGTATATATGTATATATGTATATATATATGTATGTATATATGTGTATATACACACACACATATCTATCCTGTAATGTGTGGTCTTGAATAGTTGGGGGACTTACTGTAGATAGACACTTTAATATCTGTTTGGTGGTTCTCATCACCTGAAACGTATGTGTGTATGTGTGGCAGGGCATCTTAGGGCAAAATGTTGCCTTTTTATACAGTCATTTTACTCCTACTTTAAATACAGAAGTAACTTACAATAGAATTTTAGAAACTGATTTTTGTTTTGTTACTACCTCTAGTATTGTGGGAAATATTTTTTTTATCTTATTGAGTGTAATTAGTAAGCTTACAGCAAAACATTGGAATAAAATCAAATTCAGGCCATGTCGCAGTTGTCATAATAAATATGGTAGTGGCACAAACCTAAATCCTCCAACTGTAGAGCCAATCTGCCACAAAGATACAAAATGCAAGTGGAAGATACAGTCTACTAAGTGAACATGCTTGGAATCATCCTGATATGACTAAAATCATGAGGGCACATGTAGAGAGGATGTAGTCAAAAATAGAACTTGAGAGGTGTCAGCGCTGTTCAGGTTAGAGGATCAGTTCAAGGTTGTTCCTGGCACAAATGGTGTGTGTGGTGGATCTTGAAAATACAGAGGAGTTTTTTTAAGTCATACTAAAGATTCTAGAGGTTTACAAGTCTTTACTTGTGTTGCATTATATTAATTCAACTCTCTGAATTTTTTTTTAAATGTAACGTGCAGTTTATATTATTAAAAATTTTAATTTTAATGTAGTTATATTATAACATAAAAGTACTTCATTTTATGTTAATAAGTCTCTGATATTTCCCATTTTAATTAACTGAAGCATGCATTGCTGGTATTTTATGGTAGCTAACATGCTTGCTTTTGTTGGTGTTCTACGTACATGTAATGGCTTTTCATAATGTAAATGTATACTTTAGTAATTGTGTAAATATTGCACCACTTTCTCTCTCTTACTCTATACACAGACACAATAACAATAAGAAAGTTTAAACTATTTGCATAACCTTCTGCTAAATCGTTTTTTTATCAGGACAAAACTCTTACACTGGATCAACAGGTGCAATAGCTGGAAGTAATGAAGTTTATAAGGACCCTAGAGACAAACGATTGAAAAGGTAAATAAAATTAAGGAGAGATCTTGAATATATGTGTGGTACTATGCAACATATACAATGTTTTTTTACGAATTTGAGAATACAAAGTGAATTTCAAATTAAAGATAAAAATAGCCAAACTGGAAACTTTCTCTACGTTCGATATGCTTTTTGTTTGGCTATTTTAGTAAATAACCCTGATAGTGTATGTGTGTATAGATAAATACATGGCACCTTATATTGTACAATTTGAGAATATTAACTACTTGATTTCCTTAAAAAAATGAAACGTGACAACCTACTGCTCAGGGTTTTCTTTTTTCCTGTCTGCGCTAATCTCAAAATAGTGAGGGGAATACAGTTTAATTTAAACAGAGTACCGAGATACTGTAAGAAAATGTTTTAATACTTAACGTTGGTTGCTAACTACTTTAAAATCGATAAATGCTATAGTGGAAAAAAACTGGCACAATTAGAGAGAATTCCTGCGAGTGTTTGCTCTTAAGCTTGTAAATCTCTAAATGCTGTATGCCAAATAATTGCAAATGTATTACTTTTGTATCAACATTTGTATGCTTTCTTTAATTTGAATGAGACCAAGGAAAATCTTTGCATAAGCCGCCTTGCCTCCCACCATTTCTAATCCAGTACCCATCCACGTTTTTGAAGGAACTCAAAAGAAGTACATTTCTAGATACTTTTTGCTGCAATGTATTGTGTAGAGTCTGAATGTGCCGTTTTTCAGCTTCAAACAGCTTGTGTACGTCCACCTGATTTGTGTATTAATATTTGGTTTTATGGCTACGATTTCTTAACTGTAACTTGATTCTCTCATGATTTGCATTTTACCATTTCTGCTAAGTGTTGGAACGTTGCATGAAATTGTACTTACTAGATATTTTGCACATATTAACATTCCATTTATTTTCCTTTTCACCATACAGTCAAGATGGAGATTATGGTACATCAGGAGCACCACCAGAGAGCCTAACATTTAAGGAAAGACAACGTCTGTTCTCCCATGGTCAAGATGTATCGAACAAAGTAAAAGCTTCAAGGAAGCTAATGGAACTGGAAAATGAGTTAAATACGAAATGATTGAAGGCACCTTATTAATCTTAGAAAACAAAATACTTTAATAAAAATATTAAAAAAATAAAATCGAGGGACTTGGGTTTAGGAAAGAAATGTGTTATAGGGACTAAAAAAAAAAAAAATACAATATATATATATATATATTGTAAAGAGTGATCTTATCAATCATTTATTCTGAGACTGTTAATTCAAAATTAGAGATTGCAAGAAAATGATTTACTTCCTTCACATGTGACATCTTTGGTTTGTTCAGCAGAAGCACTACAGAATAGGGTTTCACTACAAAATGCGGCATTGATTGCATAAGCTGCATAAAAACAACTGTTAGAAGTTGGAGACATGAGGACCCAATGAAATCCAATATTTTTACAGCAATTTTGCTTACACCAATAATACTCTAAACTACTCTTTGAAAGACTACTGATCCCTGCCTCATGGGGTTTAATGTCAAAGTATCTCTCAATCTTAAGCTTGATAGCATTGTCAACATGAAATGCAATGTATATGAACAACCCTTGTTCAAAATTTTTGTTTTTAAGCTTTTTCTGTTTGCATTTGTTGGGCCATATTGGTAGGATGTATTAATTGTTCCACTTTACTGAACTCTGCATTATTTAATACAAGTAGAGTACAATTTAAATGACTAAATATGTCTTCCCAATGGCTTTATACGGTTTCTGTTTTTGCACATTTGTAAGAACTGCATATTATCTCTCCAAAGAGAATCCATGAAAATACTGGTTTTGTAATATAAAAGTTAATTTTATAAATAAATAAAAAAAAAATTAAAAAAATAATAATCTGCCACTCAATCCTTCTAAATTTATTAGAGGTACGTGGTGGGGTTGGTTTTTTGTGTGTCTATTCTAAGGAAAGCATATATATATATCTTTAACCAGATCTCCAAAGTGGACCATTTAAAAAAAATATTATGTCAAGAGTTACACTACTGGATTAAGTTGTATATTTAGTTTGGTAGAGACCTTGATACATACAGAGCAGTTTAGGATTTTGAATTTTAGTGTTTTAAATTTTTGTGATGACATGATTATTGTTTTTGATCAATTCCTTATTTAAAATTTTTTTTATTTTTCAAATTATTTAGATCACCATTATTTTAAACTTAGAGCACACATACAAATTGTAATTGAAATCGCTTAAATTCTAAAAAATAGTGATACACGTAAGTATTACTGAGCCAAATTGCAGCTTGGGCATTTAGAGGAATACAGTTTTGCTACTGATATTTTTATTCCGTGTTACATTAGAAGGGTTCATTAGTGATCTAATATTAATCTCCCTACGTCATAGCACACTTTGCATTGATAACATTTTACACTGGGTTTTTAGAATGGAAAAACTTTCTTTTTTTTTTCAATTTGTTTTATTTTACTTTTTTTGCACTTTTATATTATATTCATTATTGTTTTAATATAATGTCTTTTTATTTTAACCCACCAGATTCGGGAAATATTTTTTTTTTTTTTCCACTGTGTCGTGTTTGAACTATTTAGTGAATTTTAAATGGTTTGTTTTTTCTTACCCAGCTTAAAGAAAGCTTATGATGTGGGATCTTCTCTAAAAACATATATTTGCAAACACAGAGATAAATGTTTTTCTTTTCTTGTTTTGAAACACAGTAAAAAGATTACATATTGTGCAGTTCAGATAATCCATTCAAGTAACTTAAACAAAATTCTGATGTGCAAACTGGAAATTATATATTCGCTTATTACTTTTTAACTATACCAAAAAAAAATAAAAATATATATATATATATATATATATATATATATATATATATATATATATATATATATATATATAATTTTTCATTTTTTTTTCTGGTGTGGTTATTTGCTCAAGCAAAAGGGCAAGTAAGGAAATGGCTACCAACATGTCCTATACAGCAATTGCAGCTTGCTTTCGATTTTACATATTGCTCCAAAGAAGGTATCTGCATTTGAACTATTTTTGTCTTTTTGGAAAGAGACTTGTGCAAAATGAGACTGAAATATATTATGAAGAAGACCCACTGATCATCTAGTCCTCAATTCACAGTTAGAACATAGTGTGCCGTCTATTTATCTTTCAGCCTTGTTTTTATAATCACTTGCTTTCTAGATTTTTTTCCTCACTATTTCCCGAAAATTTATTTTTGGGGTTTCGGTATATTTTGGCTTAAAGTTGTATTTTTTTTATATATACATAAACCGAATGAATAATCATTTGAGCCATATGGTTTATCAGAAAAAAATGTATCTGTACTATATTAAAACAGTGCTGGAAGAGGACGCCTTTGAAATCCCTTAAAAATCCCTTGATTTTAGAAATTCACAATGGAGTGTTTTTTAGATGTGTAAATTCTTTTGAGCAGTCTTAAGTACAGTCACTGTTGTACACATCTCATTTGTATATTGTATCATAGAAAATGTTTATGAAGTACCCAGAGAGTCTCCTTTTTCTGTTTATGTAAGAAAAACATGGGCCTAGCCAAGCCTATCCTGACTACCTATTAAAAAAAGGAAAAAAAGTGGCAGACACGCTATAGTTCACATTATACCAGTTAATTTAAGTTCAAACAGTTAATGATTTTCATTGAGAATGCATATTGTTGCTGCTATAAAAATTTATTTTAAAAATTAAAATAAAAAATCCCAAGATCAGATGTCTATATGACAGTTTCCTTGATATACATAAAGATGCTTTTCATAATTGTGCATTATGTTATTGAAGACATTACAACTGCTGTAATTTTCAATTTCTACTGTATTTCACTTGTAACCTATTTTTAATAAAGTTTGTATGTATTTAAGTCACTGACTTTTTTATGTTTATCTGTTGATTTTAATCAAAACATTGTTTGATCATGATTTATAATGTACGTGTATTTACAGACTGAGAAAATCTCACGCTGAAGTGATATAAATATAACAAAACAAAAAAATCAGCAAAGATTGCATGCTTTTACCCTTGCAGTGCATGTGTTAGAATGGGAGACTGTCATTAATCTTGCAACACCGTTTAGGCTTAGGTTACTGCTCTGCCTACCTAGCTTGCCACTCACACCAACTTTAAAGTGGGACATAGATTGCAAGCTAATTTGAGCAAGACCTTCTTCATATTCCCTTTCTACAATTGTAAAGCTTTGCAGAATTTAGCAAAATTCAAAATGATATCCTTTATAATAGGTGGTTACTGATGTGCTTAAAGGACCACTCTAGGCACCCAGACCACTTCAGCTTAATGAGGTGGTCTGGGTGCCTGGTCCAGCTAGGGTTAACCCATTTTTTCATAAACTTGGCTGTTTCAGAGAAACTGCTATGTTTATGAATGGGTTAAGCCTTCCCCCTAATCCTCTAGTGGCTGTCTCATTGACAGCCACTAGAGGCACTTGCGTGCTTCTCACTGTGATTTTTCACAGTGAGAGCACGCAAGCGTCCATAGGAAAGCATTATGAATGCTTTCCTATGTGACCGGCTGAATGCGCGCAGCTCTTGCCGCGCGTGCGCATTCAGCCCAGGAGGAGGATCGGAGGAGGAGAGCTCCCCGCCCAGCGCTGGAAAAAGGTAAGTTTAACCCCTTTTCCCCTTTCCAGAGCCAGGCGGGAGGGGGTCCCTGAAGGTGGGGCCACCCTCAGGGCACTATAGTGCCAGGAAAACGAGTATGTTTTCCTGGCACTATAGTGGTCCTTTAAGTTGGTTCCACTGATTTTGTGTTTCACAGGGTTTTTTTCTTGTTAACTGTTTGTAGAATTATTCTTTTTTTAGTGTTCAGTCCAGAGTGTAAGCACTATATGTAGTGTTTCTTAAATTCAAAGACGATGATGACATTACTAGTAAATGCACCAAGCAGCAACTTTGTTTCCAAAAAAACATCTGTTTGGTCTAAATAAAGTTGTGTTGCTAATAACACAATACACATTCACATCCAAATGTACTTAAACAATAAAACCAAACTCACGATCATCAGTGTCACATATTCGTCCCAAGAGGGGCAAGGTTATATTCCCCATTCCACTATTAGTATTTCCATTGCCTTTAAATCTCAACACCTCTTTAACAGCCATGATGACTGCTGCTGCTGCCACCACCTATAAAATAGTACAGTATCAGGATAGCCGGACTAACATGTCTGTAATGTCTGATATACCACTTAGGAGGCATTGCTTGTGCATTTGTTGAGTTAAAGTCTACAGTAGGAGAAATATCTGCATTGTAGACCACCAGCTCCACAATAACCTCTGCTTCCACTGACACGGTAGCTCTAGTGATGAAGCAAATTTTGGGATCACATTGAGTGTCTTCCAGAAGGCCCACTAGCAGTGTGCAAATTGTACACCAAGGAAGTGAATAAGCAGAGTGTGAAGGTTCTTCTCACGATTGCCAGTAAGAAACCGCATATGCAGTCACTACAAGTCTGTTACTTGTAGCAGAAAGCTAAAGTACATGGGCAGGCAGCAAGTCCACTGATACTGCAACGAGCAGTACCTCCTCCACCACTACTACTGCTTACCACTATAAGCAGGTGATGTCCTTGACTTGTACTGGTGAGGAGCAGCAAAGATAGAGAAAAATGTTGGAAAAACTTTAACTTTTCCTTGTTTCTGATTGGTTAAAAGTTTTATTGTATAGTTGTGCTGGTGCGGAGTTCAGGTAAAGAGAGCCTTAAGCAATATGAAGCCTCATGTAAAATGGTTTTATATTGTGAGCTGTAACTTCCAAATTAAACTGAAATCCTAGACATATGATTTACTTTGTGGAACAAGACAAATAAATGAATTTATTTTGAATTACTATTCTTAAGCTGCACTAATTATATATAAATTATTAATAAAAACTACTGCTTTGGCAATACATTAGAATATATGTGTATATGTCACATGAAATGAAAGCTCTTTTTATTCTTTAAAAAAAACATGGTGTATAATGTGTTGGTGTAATAAATGACAAATATGGAAATTGCAGTTGAACACACGTACATGGCAAAAATGCCAAAATCAAATGTGTTCTTCAGTAAAAGACATGCAACCTCAAAAAAAGGCTATTCTGTGTACTTAAAAGCAAGCATGATGTTTTTTTATTTTTATTTAACCACAGGTCACTATAAAAAATTACAATTAAAAGGTTTATTCTTTACCAGTTAAGATTTCTAATAAATCCATGTTGGAACATTACTCCTGTCCTTGGAGATCACCAGAGTTACCTGCCATGGTCTTAGAATTCTATCCAGACAGGGCTACGGCCTTTCAAGTACTTGGAGACATAATTGATAGATGTACAAGGGAGTCAGTTTAGAAAATGTCTGATGTTTATTAAACAGAACAAATGTTTTATAATCACAGGCAATAAAGGGGTGTGGGGGATCTGGGAGAGTATCATTAATTACCAATCAAATATTGACAACTAATAACTTATATCACAGACAGCATGTGCATACAACATTGTGACCGCATATAACCAATCGCTGATATAAAACTTATCCAGGGGGCATTACTAGGTGGGGGTTTCTTAGAATGAGAGGGTGTAGGAGTAGTGTCTTCTTAGAATAGGAGAGAACAAAGATGGTCATGTGCCAAGGCTACATATGTGGTATCCTTTCAATATACAAGGCCTTTTCTTCTTATGATTCAGCCGAACAGAAATGTATCCTATCATTCCTTTGAGATTATTGTCTACATTTGAAACTTTGAAGAAACAAAACTATGTATATATGTGTGTCTGTGTTTGTTTATGGGTCACTGTATGTGTGTTGGTGTCAATGTGTGGAGTGGCTAGTGTGAAGGAAAAATGTTAATAAAAAATTTAATTTGCAAGATATCTGACGTTATTACACATATATCACAACTTTCATCCATCCCTACCTTTTCCTGTCCCTCTCTGCCTATCTCCTCAACGCTACCCTCACCTCTGCCAAACCTACATCTTAAGGAGGACGCAACTCCAACTGTGGCACAATAAGTCAACCCACTACCTGCATAGATTCTTCCATTAAGGTGAACTCTGCAGGAGAAAGTCTCGTACCTTGTCAGACTTTCTCCATTATAAGTTCCTCTTGCTTTTGTATAGTGCAGCCCTCAACCTTGCTAAACAATCATACTTTTCCTCTCTCATTAGCTCATACTCCCACAACCCCCTGCGTCTCTCTTGTGAGGTTATTTATGGGGATTAATTATTATTAATTCATTTTCATTAATTAAAAATATCAAAATTATTAAAAATAATCTTTATTAAAATATCAGGGGTTAATATTTTTTTGGCGCAAATTCCCAACTATCAATTTAAAAGCGAAGAGTTCCACTATTTAACTCTTGCCCCTGTTAGCATGGCGCCCTGTGCGGTCGCACAGCTCGCACACCCCTAAGGCCGGCCCTGTGTCCTCCCCCCCCTGGCCCCCACCGCTGCGTTTTCAGCCCTAAAAAAGGCCAAATAAAAACCATCATACCCGTCGAACTTGTAAAAAATAAAAGAAAAAACCTGAGCACAAAAAAAAAAACAGACAAAAAAGAAAAAAACCTGATGCTAAAAAATGAATCCATCTTCGCACGGCGTAGACTGAGCTCCACAGGGCGGAGAAAGGCTTATAAAGCCTTGCCCCACCCTGCAATTAGGCTCAGAACACTCTGATTGGATAGCTTGAAATCCACCCAATCAGAGTGCTCTGTTCATTTTACACAGCATGGGAAAATTCCAAAGAACTTTCCCACGCTGTGTAAAATGACTCTTAACACTCTGATTGGATGGCTTAAAATCCATCCAATCAGAGTGCTCTGTGTCATTTTACACAGCGTGGGAAAATTCCAAGGAACTGTGTTCAGAGTGTTCTTAATCTAATTCCATATTCCAGGGTGGGGCAAGGCTTTATTTGGATGGGGGTGTGACTAGGGGCTTGGGGACCCCTTGTCCCCTTGGGGGGGGCATTTTCGTTTAGGGCCTTCACCCGCCGCTCAGGGGTGGGGGCCGAGGGGAGGACAATATGTTCCCCCCTTATTGTTATTTAGGGCCCCCGGGGGAGGACAATAGGTGCCCCCCCATTATCCTTTAGTGCACATACCTGCCGCTCATGGGTGGGGGCTGGGGGGAAGGATAGGTCCCCCCTCCCTATTGTTATTTAGAGCCTCCAAACGCAGGAGTGGGGGCCGGAGGGGAGGACAATAGGTCCACCCCCTCATTATCCTTTAGGGCCCCCACCTGCCGCTCAGGGGCAGGGGCCGAGGGGGGTGGACAATAGGTCTCCCCCATTCTAGGTCCCCCCTATAGTTTAATAGCCTCCCACTCGTGGGGCATTGGTGGGGGGAGGTGTGTTTTTTTGGGGGTTTTTTTAACAATGAGCAGCCACTGGCTGCTCACTGTTTACTAGACATGCCCCTACTCGCGATATAGCAAGTAGGGGCAGAATTTACTAATACTAAGTAATCTTTACTTAGTATTAGTAAATGTGGCTGAAAAACCAATTTAGGTCTTTCAGTCTTTTGGTAGATAGCTCCCTAATACCATGGGAATTAGGGAGTTATCTACTAAGTGGCTGCAAGATGCAGCCGCGGTAATGAATAGGATCGGAGTTTCATTCATTAGAATGAAATTCCGATATGAACAAAGTCCCGAATTGCATCCTAACAAGAATGGAGAAACTGTTCTCATTCTGTTAGGAAGCAATTCGGCAGTTTCGCCGGTGTTCTGTCTAAGTGACAGGACGTTGGGGAATACTGACAGGAAGCATCACGGGAACAGGGAGGAAAGCTAAGAATTGTGGGGAAATTTCTCTGACCACCTGAAATGAAGCACACTTTGCTCCTCCGCTGGTCAGAGATGGTCAGGTGTAGGAAACCTTCATAAGACAAATAGTCCCTACTTTGTCTTATAAGACAAAGCAAGAAGGAGGAAGCTCGAGGAACACTCGTATTGGGGTTATCCCAGGGACTGAAGAAGTATATCAAGAAAAAATTAAAAAAAAGAGTGCCCTTTAAAATATAGCTTTTAATAGTAATTCTAAAATATTGTCTGAATATCCTAAATGAAAATGATAATAAAAATATAGTGATAAACTAAAGTATATATATTCTAATATTAACAAGTATAGTGATAAACCAACGTATTTAACCAACGTATTTACATTCACTGGTTAATAGCTTGTCAGTAGAGAAACATGTAAAAAGACCCTGTGGATCTCTAATAGAAAATGCTACTTTATAAAGCGCATATGAATTGCAAAACTTTGTTTTGCACACATTATCAGATGAAGGTTTATGAAAACTTGTGAACAGAACCTCATAACGAACATGCATACTCTAACTATTATCAGTTTACTGCTATTATTAGCTCACTCTTCTGCATTACTAGGGTTCAGGAATTTCTAACTGATTGCACTTATTTTAGCTATCAATCAGTTTATCGAATTGTATATACTTTAGTTTATCATTTTTTTTTTTGTGTGTATTACCTTGTACATTCACTGCTTTACATTTGTGTATTACCATATACACACTTCTTTGTGGCTAGCGACAATTACTAGCCTTAGTGGACTGCAAAACGATCGTTGCAGATACCACTAGATAGGGTCTCAAAGTATCGCATAATAAAATGTAATCTAGCCCTGTACTCTATCTATTAGAAATCCACAGGGTCTTTTTTACATGTTTCTCTACTGACAAGCTATTAACCAGTGAATGTAAATACGTTGGTTTATTACTATACTTGTGAATATTAGAATATATATACTTTAGTTTATCACTATATTTTTATTATCATTTTCATTTAGGATATTCAAACTATATTTTAGAATTACTATTAAAAGATATATTTTAAAGGGCACTCATTTTTTTCTTTTTTCTTGATATACTACCTTGTCTTATGTTTTAAAGAAAACTAGAGCAGATAGGAAGAAATGAAGAGCAGATCCTGAGAGAGGGAGAGAAGAGGAATCGATTAAACAAAGGTAAGTTCGGCATGACAGTGTCGCTTTAAGCTCTTTAGAGTGATCTGATTGTTAGTTCATGACAATTCAATCAACCATGTTAGTATATGGAATATGTTCTTCATACACTATTGATTGAGACAATTGACAAATAGAATGTTACTATTTGTTAAATTATAAGGAACCATATGAGTTTATCAGCATAAGGATTATTATAATTTAAAGACATAATTTTTCAGGATAATAAAATACAATCTTAGCTTTTTACTTCTTAGTACAATTTACAAACACATGTGGATTGTTTGCTTATTGTAAACACCATTCATTAGACTTAGCTGGACAGAGTTCGTTATTTACTGATCTAAACACAAAGTTCTACGGCAATGTTTTAACCAGCTCAGTGCTGTTTCAGTGTAATTATGATTACTTAATTCATCCAGTAACTAAGTTTTTGCAGGTTTAGTTAAGACAGTTCTTATCTGATAAATATTTCCTAGATTGTTATAGGATTAATATTCCTCTGGGTATCTGTTGATATTCTAAGTTTTATTTCATGATTTTGATTAATATTCCAGTCTGCAGTTTGAGATATCAGTCTTTATCATGAGCTATCATGAAACATAATCTGACAGATTTCGTATTAGTTTTTACCCAGAAATAATAACTTTTAGTTATGTAATTTTACAGTTAGCATAATTGGCTTATATTTACCGATAGATGTTCTGGATGTTATTTTTAAGATTGTTTCAAGATGTCTTCTTGTCCGTCTCTTGTCTTGTGTCCTATCTCCTTCTGTGTGTCTCTCTGTCTCTCTCTGTGTATCTTTTAAATTAATATTTTTTATTTTTGCAGTGCACAGCATGCGTGCAGTGCCCCAACGGCAGTCCTCATGCTGTATTACTACAGTTTCAATACTGGGGTATTCAGGATAACGTGCACATATTTTTGTTAATTATAATGAGGGTGCTCATGTTTGATTCATGTAGTTAGCATGTGGTGTATAACAAGATTATCTATGTGTTTGTCATCAGAGCAAGGTGGTTGAGTAGGTCTAATGCTGCTTATTCCGTTAAGCTAGTGCCACTGTAAGATGCGAGCATGTTGTGCAGTGTAGGTGATGGGGTCTGGTGTGTGGTGTGGCAATACGTTAAATAGATTTCAAGTAGGTTAAAGATTGCATAGGTATATTATAAGCATTCTAGTCCCACTGTGTGCAGTTCAACCACCAGACTGCAGCTGCATCCCCCAGCCAGACATATCATCCGATCCATGTGCGCAGCTGGGTATAGGAGAAGTCGAAGATGTTCAACAGGTCGGCTGTGCAGCCTTTTGTAGACATGGTGCCTCTTCGGCCCTGGATCAGTGTGAAGGCTGGTACCTTCAGGCCACAAGCCTGGGGTCCTTTCAAGTCCAGGGTCCTTCCCCGCGAACGGGTGCGTTGGGCCTTGCATGGGTCTGATGCGTGTCTCCCTGTGGTTCCTGCAGCCCTCTGCTTGTGTGGCCGGTACCTGCGGGTCAAGCCCCTCATTCTAAGTATATTTTAGGTGTCCTTCTCTTATAGGTCTCTCTTAGGTTTCCTCTGTGTGTCTTTCTTAGATGTTTCTCTCTGTCTCTGTGTATTTCTCTATCCCTATGTCCTGGGGTTATATGTCATTCCTTATCGGTTAACCTTCTGACCTGGTCCAATGACATTTTGGGGCAAGTCATTTTGTTAATGGCTGTTGACCTCATTTTGATTTATGTTTCTATATGTCTTAAACAGCAGGTGGAGCTGTTGGCTTACATCAGGAATGTGATATAGGGTTAATTCTTGTTCAGGACAATTTAGGAATGTTTAATTTCAAGATGCTTATAGTCACCAATTCTTCTTTCTATGTAGACTTTGGTTGTTCAACCAATGTGTCCTTGTTCACCTACCCTGTTATGGCAATTGCAGGATATTGAAGCTGTCTAACTTAATTTATCTCTTTGCTAATTAAATTTTTATATGTATGTTTCTATATATATGTATAGATTGCTAACTTAGGATATATCACACTATATTTCTATTTTTATACATAATACATTTCCGGCCCCTCATTTGGAGCCAGAAACCAACTTTACAACTCATTGGTCTATAGCTACAAGTTCAACAAGAAATTCTGTTAAGTTCAATTTACGGTCAAATACTGTAATATCACAATTCACCTGCTACTAATTCATAGCCTTGGGTTCCATATTCGACTCCATAAACTCATGTTAAATACGTTACACTTACTTAGCGTCATTAGGCCTATATTTACTATTGTTATACGAAGCCCACTCAGCCACAATACAGTAAGCCTAATCCAGCCATTTTGTCTCTATCACATGATTACAATTATAAATGTTTAAACTATCAATTCACTTGAATTGCAATTATTCTAAAACTGAAATACCAATAAATTAGAATCTTAAGCTATATGAATTATTCATCTATAAACTAGTATACATGTTTATTGACATTTATTATAGGCTATTATTTACTAAGCCGCCTTGACATAAATTACAGTGGGAGGGTTTGCTGTAGGATCATTATTAACCAACACTACTATACAATAACTCATAAGTCTCCCTATCCTTTAGATCCTCTTAACTGTATTTGAAAAGGAGATTACAATATAATATACATGTATGTAGTACTATTTAATCAATTATCAGGGTACACAACATAGGTACATACCCATTATTACCATTTGTCTCTTTAGGTTCCGACTTACAATTAATTCACACAAGTCTCAGGCCACATACTACTAATAGTGCAAGGTGCATAAATTCTTTGACATGCAACCTACCATATGTTATGTGTCATCCCCAAACAGGCCACAGCACCATAGGTCGAAAGACCTTGAAGCCAAAGCCTAAAGAACCGAGGATGAGCATGAACACAGGGGGTCTCTGGCGCCAAGCTGACATAGCCATGGATCCCAAGATGGCAGCCTTCCCTGACATCTCCCAGACATCTTGGAGGATTTCTCAATAGGGGCAGTGGAGGAACAGCTACCTGAAATGCTGACCCCCAGGCCGCCTCTTTCTTCATCAGACTCGCCCCCGGTCACGACGGCGGTGATCAAGGAACTGCTAGCGGGCCTCTAGCACACAATCTAGGCCAATATGGCCCAAATATGCCAGGACTTGCAAAGCCTAACAGGCTGACTGGGAACACTGGAACATGATACCCGCCAAAACGCACAGCACATGGCGCTCCTCCAACAAGCGGTGGACAAGTTACAGTGACAACAAGCCAACACAGAAATAAGGTTTGTAGCTCTGAAGGATCAAAGGCGGAGTTCCAACATCAAAATAAGGGGAATACCCAAAGAAGTATCCAACACAGAACTACCACATCTGGTGAGAAGACTCCTGATGGTGCTCCTGCCACCCAAACAGGCAAAGGCAGTGGAAACAGAGGGGGTGTTCCGCTTACCGAAACCAGCCAAAGCACCATCCTCGACGCCTAGAGATCTGCTAAGTCGGTTTCAAAGGGGCAGAGATAGGCAGGCTTTTATGACCACAGCATGGCACAACTCTCCATTTGCATTTGAGAGCATGACACTCTCATTCTACACGGATTTGTCAGGAAGCACATTTGCTTGGCGCTGCTTACTCCAACCCTTCACATCCACACTCTGATCTATCTACATCCTATACAGGTGGAGGGCACCCCGCACGCTACAAGTACACCACGACAACTCAATCTACCCCATCCAAGATCTTCAAGGCTCCAAGGGGCTCCTACATACCCTGGGACTCCCGCCAGACTCTTTAAACACTACCGGGCCGACAGTACCCAAGGCCCAAACCCGGACCTGGAACCCAGCCCCAGCAATCCCGTTCGTCCCCCAGAGGCCCACAATGGACTCATATGCAACGGCAACTACCTGAGGCAACTCAGACCTGAGGCAGTGACAGGCCTGACACCACCTCTTTCAAACCACTGTTTTACCCTGCAAAGATCCCAATTTTTTGTTAATTTAATGTATTAGTTTGCATCTGTTTTTATGCACAATTTTTCAGGTTCCTGGGATTACTAGCACGCACAGCACCACACAGAAGTCAGATACATTATGAGGCCCGTTAAGTGTACCCAAAATGGTCTACACACACCCAGTACCTGATCATGCTAAAGGCCCAGACCCACACCTTATAGCAAGCAAATTCTTTGCACCCCCCTCACCCTGTCTCTCTGAGGGGTAAGCCTCTAGAAAGCCTAGACACCCCGTAAAAACCTAACTATACCCAGCGAGTATTTTACCAATTACATTACCCAACCACTACCGGCACAGCCATCCGTAAACCAATACGGCACCGGCAGCCAATCTCCCGACCTACCATCCACATGACAGTTGAAGTCACCACTATGCTCAGCCAGCACTAGCTTGGGCCCACACAGTCCCTTGGGTAACCCTAAGGGCGACACCTTGACAGGGACACACCGCAACCACGTAATTAAGCTACCACTTCACAAATGGAATTTGACTATCTTTTAGGTGTACTGAAATTGTTTAAGATTGGTCTTATGTTATTCTTATTCATACATTAACGGGCATTACACGTGGTTTAAAAACATATGACAAAACAAAAATTAGGTATGACACTCACTTTTGCTATAACAAGTATGATGCATGAGGTACTACTTTACAATACTATGTCATTGTACCTGTTGTGCAAGCTACTACCTCCAAAAATAAAGAATTCATTTTAATTTTTTTTTTTAAATGGTTTCATGCTGGGGAATTTCAGGCATTCCCCAATAACCTGTTGGTGCACCAGCCCCATCTGCATAGCCACGGGAAAACTAACAATAAACAAATGCATGATTTTCCGTATTTAGCAATACCCAGTCTAAATTTCTTGATTCCATCAGAAGAATTTTCAGTACACTACGCCACCGTAGATGCTGCTATACAAGCAATCTTGAAAGCCAGGAAAGCAGCCTGACTGTCATGATCCGCATCATGCCAAATGTGGAACTGTCCTCTTGGGCCTGAACCTGTGTCATCTGCAACCCAGTCAGTGACTTTACCTTTTCGCCACGCATCTTTGTTATTTTCTGGTTCTCTCTGTATCCTGTTATGTCTGAGTCTCTGGTCATGGACTGCTGCTCACTTGATCTTGATTCCAGATCAAGTGGCTATTATCTGCCTATATAAGCCCTGCCTTGCTACTGCCTCATGGTCAGATCGTTTTGTTGTCCTTCGTGGAAACTACACTGTTCATCTGACTCCTGTCTTGACCTTCAGCCCGTTTATCGTTATTGCGTGTTTGCTGTCTGTCTTGACCTTTAGTACCATACCCGACTTCTCTTTTGGATTATCCTTGTCTGCTTCACGCATCTGAAAGCACTGTGTCTGTACAGCCCCTGTGCACTGTTTCACAAACTTGGAGATTTCTACCTTGAGTCTCCTTGGTTTGTGTTAAATGGCAAAGGGTGCTTTAACTCTGCACGTCAGACTCCACCTCAAGGTAAGATCCTTGGCTAAGGAAAGTCAAAGTTTCCAATGCCTTCAAGTGGCTTCCTATAAACCCATCACCGTGCCATACTTCCCGACTCAAATTCATTGCAGCCCAGTTTACCCACATACAAGATTCAGTGCATCAGGGAAGACATACAAGTTTACCTTATTAGAGGTTAGAGCAGAGAATTTTCGTCTCTCTTGGTTGACTGAATTTTGCAATGCACAATATCCTAAAGGGATGTTCTTTTATTTCAAAACTACTTTATTGTCAAGGATCTTACCTGGAGTGGGAGTCCGGCACGCAGAGTTAAAGCACCCTTTGCAATTCGACACAGGCCAAGGGGACTCAGGACAGAAATCCCCAAGGTTGTGACACAGTGCACTGGGGCTGAAATAACCAGTGCTTCCTGGAACGCAGTACAGACAAAGGATATCCAGAAGAGTAGTCAGTATCAGAATCAGAAGTCAGGACAGGCGGCAATCAGGCAAAAACGGTAGACGAGCAGGGGATCAAAACCAGGAGTCAGAAGAATAGCAGTGAAACCAAACAGGAACAGGAAACACGATCTGACAACGAGAACCAGCCTTGCGGGGTTTAAATAGGGAGTCTCAGCCAATCATCAAGGAACCAGGAACAGGTGTGCACATTCCAGGCGTACAGGCTCAGACTACAGGATACCAAGAACAACCAGAAACAGTCAAAGATGCGTGGAGCTCAATGCAAGGATACCGACTGGGATGCAGGAAACTCAGGTTTGATCCCAGCCAGACCCAAATACACAATATTGTGTAAAGCACAATGGTGATCCTGACATTTATCTATTACCAAATTTACTGAATAATGTCAGCAAAGTTACTCTAAACATACATGCTAAAGTAGTACATGTGGCAAGACTTCTTTTAACCCCTTAAGGACCAAACATCTGGAATAAAAGGGAATCATGACATGTCACACATGTCATGTGTCCTTAAGGGGTTAAACTGGATTGGGCAGCCATTTCATTCCCCCACTGACAGACAACTCCCTGTTATCTGAATAGATGCCGTAGCA